CCAAAATTGAAGGTAAACAAAAATTTTTTTTGGCTTATCAATAATAAGATGAAAATAAATGTAAGGGGTGGGCAACAAAAATGGTAGAGAAACAGCAGCCAGACAATTGTAATTTGTTTAGATTAAGACTGAAAAATCCTGGACTGCACTGTTGTAAGAAACAATAGAATGGAGAATAGGTTTGTGCTGGAAGATGCCTAAAAGACAGCAAGCAGGAAATTAAAAGAGCAAGGCAATTAGATGCAAAGGAGATTTCAAGATTGAGACCTTTGTTGTTGCTCTTTCAAAACATGGAATCATGTTTTTATTTACACTAAAAAAAAAAGAAAGGAATAAATGGCCAAATATAGGAACAAAGATGGTTGATTTATGCTTATAATGCCAGAAATTCAACCAGTAACCAGCTTGAAAAAATAAAGATACAAAACAAATATTTTTTTCTAAACAGTTTTAGTTGAAAACAAATGAAACTGATTCATTTTTGTTACATACCTGTGGTCCTTTGTGTATACATTTTTTCGAAAATATCACTTACCATTGCATACTTCTATTAGATCCCTTTTTAAAAAACAGTATGATTTTTCATATATCAAATATGTCATTGCCCATTAAGCTACCCCAGAAAGCACTGCCATTGTCTTATTGCAACTGATCACACAGCATAGTAGTTGAAGTCTTTGATCAATCTATCAGTTACCTTAATTCAAAATACATCATAGACTTTGAGATTTTTCATTAAGGATCATGTTGAATAGATGTTCTCAACTACACAAATAATGATGCTTTTAAAAGCACCAGTTATTATTGTTCTTTCTAAACAGCACATAATTTATATGAAGGAATTCACTACAAAACCCACTGCTGCAGAGATAGAGAAACAACTAAACACTTCTTCTAATGTAGTGCAGTAGAATACCAGACATTTTAGGCTCAGGTAAATTTCTGTCCCTTACTTACTAGCTGTAAACACTTGGGCATGCTTCAAGTTATTCTGAGGAGTCATGTTCTTCCTCAGAAAATACTTAGACTTAAAAATGCTTACAAATATCCTTTTGTTTAAAAAATTTGACTGTCAGTCAACTAACTGTGATCCCTTGGCAACCTTGAAAGGGTAAAAATGTTAACTATGTTTCTAGCTTGCTTATGGTAAAAACGACCTCTGATTGATAAACTGCATCTGCAACTGATAAACTGTGTATATCTACTAAGAGAAAAGCAAACTTTAGGCTTTTCTAAGTGCAGACTTGTAATTTTGTATGTTTTATTTGATTCCTGGAAGCTAGGCCTATGGAGTTGTTAACAGGGAGAGATTATCTTCTGTGAGGATATGGCCAGTAAATTGACCGTCTGCCTGACATGGACCTCATCTCCTTGCACCAGACTGTTACCTGGGGAGAAGCTAACACCCAGAAGACTGGCTGTAAGAACTGCTAAAGGAACTGCTGCAATTTCTTCCATGGAGAGAAGCACTCTGTGGTCTCTGCTCTAGCACGCTATAGAAGACTTGTGAGAATAAATATTCAGTTAAGCCTAAACCTCTTTGTTGGGCACTGCACATATCAGGTTTGGTTGCTTTGAAAGCAAACTAAGATAATAGACATAAATTGCTTTGTACATAGTTCTCTTTGTGCAAAGGCCTCGACTTTTCCAGCTTTACCAACTCTTACATTTGGAATGTCTTTGGCTTGAATATAGTTCTAATCAAAACAGTGCCTCCTATGTTGTCCCCTCTCCATAACTTCATTCTCAGCTTTGTTACAGGACTTCTGAGCTCAGTTGTTTCCTCCACTAACAATCTTTAAGTGGTTCATTTGAACCAGAAAAATTCCCCAATTTCCCTTGTGTTCTCATTGTAAGGTATTGGGCAAAGTAAAATATTTTATTTATTGGATAATAAACCCCTTAACACCAAAAGCTAGGACATGTTCTTATTTGCACTCTTAACAAGAATTCCATATCAGTTTGTTGACTTAAACCGAATAATGATTCATCTTATTGCTTACTGAAAAGATAGTCACAAATCATACAAGTGAGAGATAAAAGATACAACTTTAAAAAATATTTTATTATTTCACTTAGGCAACCACAAATAAATGCTTAGAAATAATTTTCTTTATAAAATTCTCTTTATAAAGGTATTGAAAATCACATCTTAATATTTAATACTGTATTTGCTTAGTGTTTTAATTAAAATAATAATACTTTAGAAAGGATATGCTATATTTTCATTTAACCAAAGTATCTGAACAAAAAGAAACAAAAATAAATTATTTCAGTGTCCCAGAAACAATCTTTTTTTTTGGCTGTTTTTTAATTGAATTTTTCCAGATCCGATGATGCAGAACCTGTTGTCATATAGACATAGCTATAGTTCTCATCAAAAAGAGCTAATATTTCATAATATAGTTCATCAATTATATTTATGTATATATATGCTTAAAATAAAGAAAAAATAACAAAAAATACATACTCATTAATGATAGACTAAATGCAACTTAATATATGCAGTAGCCAAAATTAATGAGTAGCTAAGAAGTAAAAGACAGAGAATTAATTCCACGGAGAAAAAGTATATACAGATTTTTCTCAACCATACTTTAAAGGAGTTCCCAGATTTAAATAACTGAACATAACAAAAATATGAAAATATATATGAAAATAAATTTAATAAAGTCTGCAACACAAACCTCCAAAAATCATTAGAGAATGTAATCAGTAGAATTCCCAAAAATATTTCTAAAAATTTCCATTCTTGTATAGTTTCTCAGTAGCCATTTTTGCAAAGTGCTATCATTACAGGTTTCCACAGTAGGATGCTGGGAGCCATCAGCTACTTTGTTCACTGAGAGACAAGACTGGGTGATTATATGAAGAAGAGTGTGGGTCTGTTTGACAAAGAAAATAATGAATAATGACAAAATCAAGTACAAAGACAGTAATAAATCAATCATCCTAGGCAACATACAATTTCTACTGGATAAAGATGGAAGGCACATGTCACAATAATTGCATCCATGGAGCTGTGAGCCACATTTTTTTAGATGGTTTTAATATCAATCCTATTGAGGATTAAATGATGAAATATTTTTGGCAAAAGGTTATTTCAGATATAAAAGATTATATCCTCAGCCATCATCCTAGTAATAAAATGCTTTTTAGTACCAGATGAGTTATTTGTGAATGGATATTCAAAATAGTTGATTAATCCAACTATGGTCCTTGGCCTCCTCATTCCTTTGGCCTAAAATTAAATAAATATCAGGGACAAATTTGGAGGATGATTTAGCTTTAAGGCTTTACTTTGAACAGTATGGTACTCATATTGTTCCCACTTGTGTTTTTATAGGGCTAATCTGATTGTGTTTAGAAGGATTCCACATATACATTGGCACCTTTGCTAGTTGTCAATTAGGAAGGTAGGTAATAAAGGTAGGAAAAAGAATATCAACTCTTTTTTTTTTTTTTTTTTTTTTGAGACAGAGTTTCGCTCTTGTCACCCAAGCTATAGTGCGATGGCATGATCTCAATTCACTGCAACCTCTGCCTCCTGGGTTCAAGTGATTCTCCTGTCTCAGCCTCCCTGTAGCTGGGAGTACAGGCATGCACCATCAAGCCCGGCTAATTTTGTATTTATAGTAGAGATGGAGTTTCTCCATGTTGGTCAGGCTGGTCTCATACTCCTGACCTCAGGTAATCCAACTGTCTCAGCCTCTCAAAGTGCTGGGATTATGGGCATGAGTCACAGCACCTGGCCCGAAGGTAGGTAATAAAGGGAGGAAAAAGATCAAGTCTTAACTTGATCTAATTCTCCAAACAATTTTAATTTATTTATTTATCTGTCTGTTTCTTGCTGTCTATCTATTTCCTTCACAGGAACATAAGCTCCAGGAAGCCACAGACTATGGCCACCTACATCTTGAAGCCCAGTGCCTGCCCATTGGAGACACAAAAGAAGTCTGTTGATTCAAACACTTAGTGATAGACCAGTGCAGACAATAAATTCTGTTAAAATTAAGCTGCATCTCTCAGGCAGATTAATAGGCACAAATTATTGGATTTATGTTTTCAAGGATTTATCTTCTACAGTAAAATAGTACATAATTTATAAAGATAAAAACATTTTATTCATATTGTTAACTATGTAATTAATATTAAAACTACAGCTATAAATAGCATTTTTGTTAACTATATAGTTTGATTTTTTACAAAAAATAGTTTATATATGTATTTTTTAACCAAACATGAATTTTCCATCCATACTGTTCAAAATCGCTAGGCTAGACCATCCTCTACCCTCAGTGATTTTTCTTCTCGCGGTGAACTCTTCTTGGAAAATGCCATGTTAACATCAAAATATTAATATAAATGATTTTAATTTCATTTGTAATTTAAAAGAAAAATAAAAGTTTTATGACACAAAACAAAAACAAAATGATTTTACTTATCCTCTGGAAGTGTGACTCCAGGGCATGAATACAATATAGAATTTCCATAAAAAACATGACTGTAACATACTTCCCAAAGGTATTTATCACATGAATGGCCATGAAAAAATTGTCAAAGAACTTTCATTCCAGGTACTTCTAAAAAGCCATAGCCCAAAAGAAAAATTACAAATTTTGTCCATATTTAGACAAAAATTATTTTTCATTTAAAAAACACACAAAATCACGTAGTGTCTTCATTTGCTTGAAAACAAAGTATAGTTCACTTTTTTCCTGAGTATACTGTTTGAGGAGAGAACAATTATTAACATTGTATGTATCTTCTAATAATTTTATCTTATATATGTTTACATAATTGAGGTCATATAACAAAATATTCTTTTATTCATGCTGTGGGCATTTTTTTCTATTATTAAAAGAATCTAAAAACATATTATTAAGAAATAAACTATTGCTCTAAAATGAATTTGCCAAAATCCATTTAAGATTTTTATTTGCAGGGAATATCTTTCCAATTTGGAGCTATGGTAAATAATAAAAATGTATTGTATTTTGGAGATACTCGATCAATATATTGATGTTCAGAGATATTTGCCATTATTTATAATATATTTATAATATATGGCAGATATCTCTGAACATCAGAGATGTTATAAATATATTTATAATATATTATATATAAACATATTATAAATAATGGCAAATATCTCTGAAGATCAGTGTCTACATCTGTCATTATTTCTTTAACATGATTCTTAGAAGTGAAATTGAAAGGTAAAAAATATATGAACACTTTAACATATATTAGAAAAGTTATTTAAAATGTATCTATAACAGTAATTTTTTAATAAAAGCAGCAGCAGCAGCTAACACTTCTTGTGCTTGCTATATGTCAGGATACTGTATGGGTGTCAGTATCACTGCATCTTCACCAATATTAAATGTTGCTGCTAAAAACATTTCTTGCCCTATTGATAGGATAAATAAGAAATGAATACAATAACATAAAGTGATTTTTATGTATGTATGTTTGTTATTTAAAAACATTTTTTCCATTTTCTTTGGCTATGTTTCTATTATGCTGATAATTCAAGTCTTTGCAAATTTTGACGTGTGGTATACTATTTCCTCTTCAAAAATTACAGTAACTAAGTTATATCTGTTTTTGTGGCAAATGCCTAGTTAAGCTAGTTTTGTTTTGTTTTAGGAAAGGGTCTCACTATACTGCCCAGGCTGGCTTCGAACTCCTGGGCTCCAGCAATCCTCCCATCTTAGCTTGCCAAGTAGCTGCTACTACAGGCCCATGCCACCTCATCCAGCTATGTGAACTCAGTTTTGAAGACTATGTGACATCCAGGCTGACATGAAACTTATTGCCAAATATATTTTCCTATAGCTTTATTTAAAATATTGACTAGAAATTAGGATTCTAAACCCTAAGCTAATATTGAGTTTTGTTTACAATTTAGTATTACTTGATTGTTCTCCTCTAGAATGTAAAGCCTTGGTATTTCCTGCCATGTACAAAATTTTAATCATAAGATTTAAAAATACTAAGAAAAACATTAGTGATTCCTTCCTTTAAATATATTTGCATGTTTTGCTAACATAAGATGTGGCATAGAGTATCTCTAAATTTACCCTTCCAAAAGATAAAATTCCTACTTAAGGCCAACTGGAATCAGGCTAAAGAATTTTGGTGACAAAATAAGAGTCATTAATATTGTAAAATTAGGTCATACCTTGGTATTAAAAAGTATTAAGTAAAAAAAATAGATATTTTAATGTACGGACTGCATAGTTGATTTAAGAGCCAATTGCACAGGTCTCAGTTTAAAAGTAGGTATACTAAATGATTAAAATAAAACCCAATCAATTGTATTATTACATATAATAATATACAAAATGAGGACAAATTTGGACTATTATAGATATTTAATTTCATAGCAAAGATATTCCCAATAGGATTCCTCTTGTTGATCAAACATACAATAATAATTATTTAAAACTTAATACAAAAAAGTTGTTATTCACAACATTATGATCTCCAGACAAGGTAATATATGCATTCAGTAGAATAGAAATATTCCAAAATATGAAGTGTAATCGTTTAACATACAGGGACTACAATGTGATACTAATCTATTGAAATTCCTACTCACTACTTCTAATGAGAAATCACAGCTACAGGTCAATAGGAATATGGAAAAGTAACACCTGTGTAATGCACACAACCTTCACAAGGTAAACTGAGCCACTCTCTTAGGAATGCTACACAGGGGAATGGTTGGGATGCACTTAGAGATCACTTACCTTGAAATTATAATCCCATTTACCTGCTCTCTAATAAAGGTAAATAAAAGAGCGCAGTGTGAGTAAAGTCTAAATATTAATCTATTGCATTTTACCTATGGAAAAAAATTCCTTATATTGTGACCCTGGAAATTATTTGATACAGATATATACAGAATTCACAACAAGTATTTTCTAAGTCAACTTGCTCAGTCACATGAAAAATAAGTTATTTTTAGCATCATATTTTTCTCCCTTTTTTCTTTGTTGCATAGTGTTTGTTGAACATAAGTGTTCTGATCTAAAATTAGATTCTCACACTGTATATAGCTGCCTAGTTATTAAAAAAGAAATATAATTATGTGCACATATCATAGGAAAATATTCTAAAATGACTGGAACACAATTGTGATGTTCAAACAGAATATAAGAACACCTAAATAAAACAGAATGAATAGATGACAGAACTTCATAAAAATATTTTTTAAAATGCCTCAGTGAGATGAATTCTTTTTCTTTTTATTTAATCCTGGCAATTGGCAATTCATGGCACAGAAGGGTTTGTGTAATTTGTTTAAGATTCTAATCCAGATAGGTATCCCACAATTTTGCTAATGATGCCCAGGTTGCCCTCAATTCAAATAGGTTAGGCCACATATAAGATGACAGTGAATTGAATGCATGGTTATTTAAGAACTATTTATTTATGTGTGTCAGAAATGCTACATTTCAAATCAAAGTTGACCAAAGAAGTGCATTTATTACTAACATGTGCTTAGTTTCACTCAATTACAAGGATAAGCAATTATGCATTAATTATATTATGAATATGTATAGCTAAAGTTTGTAAGCAATTGGAGCAAAATGACAAAGTAGTTTTTTGACTGCCTATTTAGCTAAATAGACCATATTTACTGTAGAACATCTTTTCCACTATTAAAATAATGAAAAAATTTATAACATTTGGCACAACAAATAATTGACAGTATTTATTTTATTTAAATACTGTATATTTAGCTTATTGTATCATAACCATTGAAAGAATCTAATTATTTCTAGTTTTTCAGTAACATTGAGAGGCAATGCAATATAGTAGAAAAATTGCTGGATTTACTGCCAGAGTCTGGCTATGCAAACTTAAATGAGGCATTTACCCTATGCTGCAGTTTAATAATGTGAAAAATAGAATAATATCTGTCTTATAAGACTATTGTAAGAATTGCATGAGAAAATGGATAAATACATGATGAACTTTATTCCCTTCTCTTTTTCCCCACAAGTAAACAAAACCAAAACAGCTTCCATGTTTTGAGGCTTCATGAGACTGTTTCGATTTTTCTCTGGATATTCCAACAATTCTGCTCCTATTTATGACTTGCTTTTCTAAGATTAAAAGGCCTATGGGAGATGAGGTGATGGAATATTTCAGCTGTTCACATGGTGAGATTCACAATTGTACTGATAGCTAGCTTGCTTTGAATACTTTATTAGGACCTGATTCCTAGCTCTGCTGCTAGTGGTGTAATCTTTGTGCTATAGTTCCTCCTGATAAAAGCTGAAAGGAGAGAACTTTAAGGTACATTTCAGTTCTGTAATTCTGTGAACTCCAACGAGTTTTATTCTGCCTTGAACTGCACCACCTTAGAGGTTTTTCAAAGAATAATTTTGTCCTTGCTAGCAAAAGATAAAAAAATTGAGTTAAAGTAGTAAGCTGTGCTCACACAGGTTGGAATATGGGAAGAATAGAGCAATTATTCCTCTTTCTCATCTCAATACCTCTTATCCTTTTGCTCCCTTTTCCTCTCTCTGCTCCCCTCTGGAGGCCTTGCCATCTTCCAAATTATATTCATACCTTTTCCTAAATTTGTAATATTCTTTAATCAGTGTATAAAGAGACTATAGAAGACACATAGATGTTTGACCCTGTCCTTTTTAAATGTAAATGTGTATATAAATGATCGGGGATTTTGTTAAAATACAGACTTGGATTCTGTGTGTTTAGCATGGTTTCAGATCCTGTATTTCTAACAAGTTCCCAGGTGATGATACTAGTCCTAGAATCACCCTTTGCGTAGCAAGGGGTGGAACCCTTCTGTGAACGAAGAAACCATAAATGTAAAACTTAAAAGCATACTAATGTTATATTTCAATTTTGTTAAAAAGAATATCTTTCTTATGACCTTCTTACAAATATAATTACATTTCAAAGCTAAAATTTCCAGAAAGGCAATGTATTATTCCTATAACTGCTCTATTTTCATGTCATTTTTAAAGACTATGACTTATAATTTTTTTAATTTGGCAAAGTGGTGTCATTAGACAATGTGAATATCCCTAGTTAATCTTGCAAACATAAACATATAAGATAATTAAGCTATATAATTCATATAATCTATTTAAAATAACAATTTCTCAATATTTATGGCATTTTATAAGCTTTGTGCGTGTGTGTGTTCCAAAATCAAAGTAAACATAACACAAAATGTTACAGTGCACTGAAATACTGCAACTAGTCACCCAAAAGAGTAAATTTACAGCAATCATTTATTTATCTTAGGTGAAGCTACCTGTTTTTTTTTCTTCACATTTTACTTAAAATTCCTTAGTATTCAATAACATTGCTACCAGCTGACAGGAAATACAAACAAAAATATGCACCTAATTGCTAAGATAGTTATTTGAGTAATGAAAGAATTTGAGTTATGACATTGTTCACTCAAGAGTTATGGAAATGTTTAAAGCTTAAAAGCAGTATTATAAAATTCGACACTGATTCATTTCATAAAATTGCATACAATCATTCCCCTTTCTTAATAAATATGTTCTAGATTTCTTATTTTTAGCATAAGCTCAATAGAGTCTCAGGTTCCTCATAGAAACTAAACAGTAACAAAAAGAAGAAGAAGAAGTTTCATTTAAAAATAAATATCACTTGTAGGATTTCTACTGTATCTGTACATTTAATTGTACTTTTCTTCATAAAATAGAGTGCTGATGAAGAGTCTAGATTTATCTGCATGTATTTTTCATAAGCACTTTTTTCTGTAGGCTTAACATAAAGGATGGGTCCAATAAATAATAGTTGAAGAGAAAAAAATTGGTGGTCAGATAGAGTGAGTAAGATATAGAGAAGGCAATATTATCTTAGTAGAGCACATCCGTACAACATAGAAACGGTTCTCAGTGTTTGTCCTCAATTATGGCCCAGAAGAAGATTTTGTGTCATTCTTAGGACACAAAATAAGTTTTAGGTCCCAAATTAACCCTACATAACGAGTTTCAAATCCTATGAGAATTCGGTAAGTTTTCCTAATATTCAGCTTAAGAAACTACAGAATCATGCAAATAATTAAAATGACATTCAAAATAAAAGACCTTGTTAAAATATCAATAATACCAAAAACTCTGTAGATTGGTTTTTAAAATGTTAAACTGTAGAATATTTTAGGCTTGCATGGAATACTGCATCTGTGAGATCCATTTATCTCTAATGTAGAATTTTTATCTTTTAAGAATGAAGTTTAGTTCTCCTTTTAATTAAATCACCTATTAATTTATAGTGTGGGAAATGTAACACAGATGACCAATTCATTTTGCTAATCAAAAAAGTAAACTGAAAGAAATGAAGCTGTTTTCAAGAGTAAGCTTCCTTATGCAAAGGAAAATATTTCTTTTTTATTAGCTCCATCTGATGGCTGATCTGGTTTTTACACACTGCCTGGAAATAAATTTCCAGCAGGAATTTTGTTGTTTTCTCTCCCTCTCCTCGACAGAAAGGTGTGCTATACTGAGAAGAGGCTACTCAGCTCATTATGTGACTAATTAGTTTATTGAATTCTGTAAAGTATTTACAATTGTAAACAGTAAAGAAATCTTGTTAACCTTGGTTGACATTCTTCCTTCCAGTTGAGAAACATAAATGTCAGAGATTAGTGTTATAAAATTTGAAATGTAAAAATACGGACATATTGTCAATATTATCCCATATGCACATCTTCATATAAGCCTCTCAGATAAACTTGGCTTGACCCTTGCCTAATTTATGTTTGGCATGTACATGGAGATAACAAACTATCATACACAAAACTGATTTTATTGTCTTCATTCATGTTTTATATTAATGGACCAATTTGGCAAAACCTGTTTATATGATATGGCATCCTAATATTATTAGATATGAACCTGTATGCTTGAAAATCTAATTCTGCCAGTGCAGATAAAAAACCAGCTTAAGATTTAAATGATGAATGTTGAAATATATAACTGAGCTTAAGCATCAAATAATAAGTAAATTAAGGAAAATACTCTACCTCAGCATCATATTCCCATAACTGATTTCCTCTCATATGGTGGCATTTTAACATGATTACAGGTCCATTGAGTCTAGAAACATCCAAGCACAAGTCATCGGTTCGGATTTCTTTATCAGCAGTGTAAGAAAATACCTGAAAATATAAAATTCAGCTAATAAAATAATATGCATGTTTTACAACGTCATAGTTTAAAAGTTTAGTATAGCAGATCTACCCACGGAAGCTTTCATATCAGATAAACTTGTGTTTTCAAACAATTACTGGTGTGTCATCTTGAGAAAGCTAGTTCATCTCTTTGAGTCCTTTTCCTCAATTGCAAAATAGGGACAACGTCATCTGTTTTATGATGTTTTGGTGAGGCCTCAATTTAACAAAATAAACTATTAAATTTCCATTATTTGCTGGCATTGTATTTCTTGCATGATACTTGCACTATAAAGCTCACAACAGATTAAATAAAATAAAGTTTCCTGACTGCATAGGCTCAATAAAGGGCAGTTCCTGTTCCTACCATCTTATGACCAGTTCTCGAAATCTACAATATCATTTTTCATATAAAAGTTTAAATCTTCCTTCTGATAACATAAATACGTCTTGTAAATTGTATTAAGTATTGTCAGTAAGCTTCTGAAGGGTGTGAAATTATCTTCTCTAGAGACCTCATTAAAGGTAGGCTCTATATTTATCTCTCGAATATGGTTTGCCTACGCTTGACTACATCAATTATTCTCAAAATATCCAAGAATGTCATTGTGGATTATGGACTCTTTGTTAGATAATTCAATTGAACTATAATAATCTTTATTATTTTGTTCCTGGTGTGAATAATTTATTTATAACATTGATTATTAAAGTTTCATGAGGGTTATTAAGCACATAATTATAGAATGTGTTTTCTTCTATTAGCTAGGGTAGGTGTTGTTCAGTATTGTCTGGGTTTTTCGTTCTCCTTGGAATGTCAAGAGAGTACATAATGAGAAAGGTCATGTAAGGGTCTTTTGTTTCCCAAAGATATCTCATGAAATCTGAGGAAATCAGCTTTACAAATAACATAAACTCTGGAGCTTGTAAGTTGAATGAGTTAGTCTTGGAAGAGTTGCCTCTGCAGTACTGCTACTCAGGACTTCTATGAAAATCACAAGCAGTGGTGAGAGGAAGTGGCAAAGTCAATGAAAGAACACCAATACCCTCTTCTGCAAACCTCTTAAAAGGAAATTATTAAGGGCTGGGTCAGTGGCTTACATCTGTAATCCCAAAACTTTGGGAGGCTAAGGTGAGAGGACTGTTTGAGCCAGGGGTTTTGGGAAACAGGCTGAGATCTCATCTCTACAAACAAATTTAAAAAGAAAATTGTCCAAGCATGGTGGTACATGCCTGTTGGCCCCACTACTTGGGAGGCTGAGGTGGGAGAGGCTGAGTTATGCAGACTGCTTAAGCCATGATCACACCACTGCACTCCAGTCTGGGCGATAGAGCAGAGCAAGACCGGGTCTCCAAAAAAAAAAAAAAAAAAATAATAATAATAATAATATGGAAGGAAAAGAAATTTCTTCACAAAGATTATACATTTACTCAACAATATACAAATTTGAAAAATATGTGAAATGAATTATGTAAAATACATCACAGACTTCATGTATTCAATTTAGAAATATATTTTCTATCTTCATTACTTTTTCACGTTCATACTTTTTAATGAAGAACACCTGCTTACCAAAAGAAGAATAAAATAAAAACCCATTAAACAGAAATATTTATATCCTCCCCAAACAGTATTATTTAAAACACAATTACAAACTTATTTAATTACATAAGTGAGTATGATAGTGAATCTTAAGCTGAGAAAGAAAAATTTCTTTTGTTCATTATAGGATTATTTCAATACTGAAGGATAGTCTTCCACATTAAAATTGCTTCATTTTAATGTGTACAAATGTCAGTGTAAAAGGAGACATCATAACATCCATTTCAGCCTTAATATTCTATAGTAATGACTCAGGCCATTCTTATACAGTATATTCTTCTCGAGTCCCTTAAGATAGTTTGGAAACAGTAGCGGATGAAAGTTTTGGAGAGCTGTCTACCACATCCTTTGATCCTCAATTTCTAATTTAGATTCATTTTGTGGTCATTAGAGATATCTTAAGTAATTTACATTTAAGAAAGATATATTTATAGAATAGTTCCTGTACTTATATATGTATATAAATTGTATGTCTGCTAAATTGACTTTTTGGCCCTTGTACTTGAAAAATATTAATGGATGTTAAGTATTTGGCTCATGAGAAATTTTTGTTAAAAACTATCTGTAGATAACACTTCTTTAGTTTTCTTGCATTAATGTAAAATCAGGATTAATTTGCTTTTTGTACCTGGGAAATAATCTCATTTTTATGCTTGTTTCTAGGATTTTTAAAAATCTTTATAAGTCAGTGCATGTCAGTATATACACATCCTTCTTGATTTTATCTGGAAACCATTAGGTATGATATTAATTATTTATCATTATATCCATTAGTTTTTTTTTTTTTTTTAACACACAATTGTCATTATTTTTCATACTACTGTAAAAGGTTCATGGAATGCACTTTGGGTATACTGAAAACATTATATGTGGAATACTTTGCAGAGATTCTGGCACACAGACAAAATTCAGTAGCTGATATTTAGAGTTATTATTCTCAGTCTTGGAGTTAATCCCAAATTGTGAATCTACCCAATACTGCCAAGAAATTTTAGTATAGGGATACAGCAATTTTTGGTCTTGCTCGTCTGTGCTGACCCCTTGGCCACTGCACAGTCCTAAGGGAGAGGTTGTAATACCTGCTGACAGATGTTCCTGATAATTTCAGCATTGTATTATAAACCTCTAGATTCAGTACTCATGAGTTCCTTTATGACTTTGGGGACAATCTCCAAATTTCACGCTGGATATCCTGGGAAGTAGCTATTCCTTATGGCTGTTGCTTGTTTTTGTGTCTTACTACTCCACAGACTCTCTCAGTTAGTATGTGTAAGGCCCAACCTGTCTTCTTGCTGTGATTGAAACCATTAAGCCTGACTATAATGTGATTTAAAATATTTCAAACCTTAACACCAGTGAAGCACGTTACCTTAAACTGTCACTCATGTTGATAACTACAATATACAAGATTGATTCATTCATTAGTAAAATTTCATTGTACATTATCTTAAAAAATGGAACCTCTTCTTCCTTTTCTAATTATCACCCAAATTGCTTTATCATCAGTTACCAATACTTAGTAAAGCAGAACTGAGTTACGCGAACCATAGATTTAGCATATGTTTCCATTTGTTCCAGTGCCAGACTGAGTTTAATAACAAGTAATTGGTTCAAAGTCTAATCACTTTAATTAAGCTAAGGTGGCTAGGAGCAGGGAAAAACAATCAATCTCTGTGGCTTTCCTTCCATTATAAAAGAGGAAACAGGGAGGAAGTTAACATTAATTGGGCACTAACTTTGTTAAAATGGTGTGTTCTATGCTTCATACATATTACATTAAGTAAACGTGCTCTATTACTTCATTGTGCAATTACATTTCTATGAATGTATACCAACTTACAGTATTGCAAAACATAAGTAGAGTTCTTTGCATGAATCCTATGAATTTAATAATTTATGGTGATTTTTTAATATATATTTAATTGCATTTTAGGTTTTGGGGTACATGTGAAGAACTTGCAAGATTGTACCTGCAGTGATTTTAAAATTCTGTGTTTCACTCTTACTATTCATGTTGTCTAAACTAAAATTATGAGCTATCTAGTATCGCATACATTCTTCTGTAGTCCTTCAGTCAGGCTAGGTCTACCAACAACCACGACATTGGCCATTTTTACTCATCTCTTTTAATCTCAGCTATAAAACGATGAAAATGATACAGGTGATAAAGTCTATGCTCCATTCTGTGGATCTTGTTGATTATTATGCCTTTCAAAATTAACCACTGTAATAACTCAGTGTTTATTGTTTACTGTTGTATTAGTTCACTGGGGTTGCCATAACAAAGTACTATGGACTGGGTGGCCTAAGCAATAGAAATTTATTTCCTGACAGGCATGGAGGCTGGAAATCCAAGATCAAGGTATTAGTGGGGTTGGTTTCTGCTAAGACCACTCTCTTTGGCTTGTAAGAGGGATCTTCTCCTCGTGTCTTCACATGGTCTTCCTTTTCTGTTTGCATGTGCCCTAATCTCCTCTTTTAATAAAGACATCAGTTACACTTGATTAGGGTACCCTAATGATGCCATTTTAACTTTACCTCTTTAAAGACTCATCTCTAATGCAGTTACATTCTGAGGAACCGGGAGTTAAGACTCCAACATATGAATTTTCTTGATGAACACAATTCAGGCCACAACACTATTAACGCTTTATAATGTATTGGAGTGTTTAACATATCTTTCCTTATTCCTAAGTGAAAAACATGATGTGCATGATTTTTTTGGCTAACCTGTTTAGGTCACCTTGGGATCAATTTTAAAATTAGAATGTACTGTTTAGTTTTACTAATCAAAACTCTAAGTGTAATGTAATATCAAATCTTTCCCCCTTCTCCACATTGGACCTGATTTATGGCAGCCTGCAGAGGAAAAGGCTTTTCCTGTTTTACATCTTAAGCTTCTCTTTTTTCTTACTGCTCCTGCCCACTCCCAAATTCGCCCAGTCTGTTAATCAGCTTTTTTTTTTTTTTTTTTTTAAATACTATTCTTCCAGAGTGGCAAAGCTGTAGGAGAGACCTTACTTGAAGTGTTTTGTATAACCCCTTCCTTTTCTCCCGCCTGCTAGAGATTTAAAGCTCCCTGTCCTGAGATCATTTGAGGTTTCTTAGAGATTCCCATTAAGTGAAATGCAAAGGAAAAAGACAACGTATATTTTACATGTGAGCCACTTTTTGTGAAAACTCTTGGAGGCAGACTAACATTAGGCAGTGCAGACAGTTCCCGGAATTCAGTTGTCACAGGCCAGCCTTATTATCTGTGAGTCAGGTCACAGCCTGCCATATTCTCAAGTACTAGAAGCATATAGCAAGCTCTTGAAATGACATCCTACATAATTTGCAGGCCCCAGTGCAAAATAAAAATGCAGAACTTATTTTTACAAAATTATCAAGAATTCCAAAATTGTCAGGCTCTATGTAATTGCATGGGTTGCACAGTCAAGAACTGTCCCTGCTATGAATCATCCTCTTACTGGAAGCTAGAATCCCAGCCCATCTCCTCTAGAGGGAGGGCAACTTTTCTTTCTAGGCAAAATCCTGCAAATTTCCCCATATTCTGATACCTTCCATTATGGGTTGAACTGTGATATATTAAAGTCCTAACCACCAGTACCACAGAATGTGTACACTTACGGAGATAGTCCATATGATGAAGTCATACTGGAGTAGGATGGGCCCTTAATCTAAAAGGACTGGTATCTTTATAAGAGAATAGAGACAGAGAAAAGACAGCCATGTGATGATGGAAGTAGAGACTGGAGTGATGCATCTACAAGCCATGGGACTCCAAGGATTGTTGGCAAACACTGGAAGCTAGAAGAGGAAAAAGATGAATCTCCCCTAGGTTTCAGATGGAGCATGGCACTTCTGACACCTTGATTTCAGACTTCTAGCCTTCTTAGAACTGTAAGACAATAAATTTCTATCATTTTAAGCAACCTAGCTCACGATAATTTGATACAACAGCTCCAGGAAACTAACATATCTTCTTTTTCTCCTCATGCTGGTTGAAGCATCTAAAGTCACGAAATCAGATTTCCAAAGTATCCTGCAAATTTTGCACAGGAAAATCTGATTTTAGATTGTCATTGCAAATTTTGCATAGGGAAATCTGATTTTAGATTTCACATTTATTTTGTCTTGGTGTCTGGGCTGAAATGTTAACATCCAGTTTAGTCATAATTTCCAATAGCATAAAATTAACCATTTTCATAATAATTTTCTATTTAGCTATATCTTTGCAAAGTTGTTTTATAATGTGACTAGGTGATTTACCTGATTTTATGTATACTTTATTGAGGTCATATTGATTTCTGTCTTTGAATTTATGTTGTAATCAAATGAGTACTATCTATAATGGATGGTACTGTATATAAAGCCAGTTCAAATCTCAATTCCTTTTAATCTTTCATAGACGGTGTATAAATCCGTTTTTACACTGCTATAAGGACATATCCAAGACTGGGTAATTTATAAAGGAAAGAGGTTTAATAGACTCAATAGTTCCACATGGCTGGAGAGGCTCACAATTTTGGTGAAAGGCTAAGGAGGAGCAAAAACACATCTTACATAGTGGCATGCAAGAGAGCATGGGCAGGGAAACTGCCCTTTATAAAACCATCAGATCTCATGAGACTTATTCACTATCACAAGAACAGCACGGGAAAAACCCGCTCCCATGATTCAATTAATCTCCCACCTGGTCCCCCCCATGACACATGGGGATTCTGGAAGCTACAATTCAAGATGAGATTTTGGTGGAGACACAGCCAAACCATATCAGATGGTAAGCATTCTTTATTATTCACATATGTGTATGGTTTGTTTTGGATTTTTCCTTTTATGGAGAATGTCCAAAGACATCTTATGATTCTTCAGATACCTAAAACAATATCTAAATAATGTCGAGGACTTCTCTGAGAAGGTTCTAAAATATTCTGTTAAATTTTACATAATCAAAGATTAGGTGTCCACATTTTTTTTTTTACCAATTGTATCATGTTTAAAATCCTAATGTATGTATAGCTACTTCTTTTAAAATACTCTTCTTTCATGACCCTTTAGAAAAACTACAAACAAACGTTTGCTCAAATCTCTAGCATGAACCTCTACTAATGAAACCTTGTTCCAGCAGCACAAGTTACAAAGCAAGGAAGCAAAGACATTGCTGTATTATTGGGACCTGAACCCTGCCTCTCTGCAAAGGCTCAAGAATTAAACGCCCTCTACTTGCTCTATCTTGTCACAACATTTCTTTCTTTCCTTTTTTTAATCCATAGAGTAAGAGATGTGTGTGTGTGTGTGTGTGTGTATGTACACACAAATACATATACACAGGTGTGCCTCAGAGATACTATGGGTACAGTTTCAGATCACTACAATAAAACAAGGATCACGTTTAAAGCAAACCACATGAATTTTTTGGTTTCCCAATGCATATATGAGTTATGTTTATACTATATGGTAGCCATATCAAGTGTGAAATAGCATTGTGTCTCAAAAAACAATTCCTTAAAAATGTTTTATTACTAAAAATACTAACAATTATCCTAGCTGTTGGTGAGTGGTAATCTTTCTGCTGCTGGAGGGTCTTCCCTCAATGCTGATGGCTGCTGACTGACTAGAGTGGTGACTGATGAAAGTTGGGTGGATGTAGTAATTTAAAAACAGTAAGACAACAGTGAAGTTTATCATATCAATCAACTCTTTCACTAAAGATTTTTCTGGCCGGGCGCGGTGGCTCACGCCTGTAATCCCAGTACTTTGGGAGGCCGAGGCGGGTGGATCACGAGGTCAAGAGATCGAGACCATCCTGGTCAACATGGTGAAACCCTGTCTCTACTAAAAATACAAAAAATCAGCTGGGCATGGTGGCGCGTGCCTGTAATCCCAGCTACTCAGGAGGCTGAGGCAGGAGAATTGCCTGAACCCAGGACGCGGAGGTTGCGGTGAGCTGAGACTGCGCCATTGCACTCCAGCCTGGGTAACAAGAGTGAAACTCCGTCTCAAAAAAAAAAAAAAAAAAAAGATTTTTCTGCTGTTTGATAGCATTTTACCCACAGAACTTCAAAATTGGAATTAATCCTCTCAAAACCTGCCACTGCTTTATCAACCTGAGTTTATGTAAAATTCTAAATACTTTGTTGTCATTTCAACACTGTTCACGGCATCTTCAACAGGAGTAGATTCCATCTCAAGAAAACACCTTCTTTGAACATTAATAGGAAGCAATGCTCATTAACTAAAGTTTTAGCAAGAGATTGCAATAATTCACTTGCATCTTCAGGCCCCGCTCTTAATTCTAGTTCTCCTATTTCTACCACATCTGCAAATACTTCCTCCACTGACGTCTTGAACCCATCAGAGTCATCTAAGAGGGTTGGAATTAACTTTTTCCAAACTCCTGTTATTGTTATTTTGACCTCCTCTCATGAATCACGAATGTCCTTTATGGCATCTAGAATTGTGAATCTTTTCCATAAAGTTTTCAATTTACTTTGCCCAGATCTATTACAGGAATCACTATGGCAGTTAGAGTCTTACAAAATGTATTTTTTTAAACAGTAAGACTTGAAAGTTGAACTTACTCCTTAATCCATGGTCTGCAGGGTGAATACTGTGTTAGCAGACATGAAAATATTAATCTCCTTGTAGATCTCCATCAGACCTCTTGGGTGACTGAGTAAATTATCAGTGAGCAGTAATATTTTAAAACGAATCTTTTTTCTGAGAAACAGGTCTCAACAGTGGGCTTAAAATATTTAGCACACCATGTTGTAAACAGATGTGCTGTAATCCAGGTCTTGTTTTTCCATTTATAGGCACAGGCAGAGTAGATTCAGCATAATTCTTAAGGGTCCTAGAATTTTTGGAATGGTAAATGAACATTGGTTTTGTCTTAAAAGATGCTAGCTACATTTTTCCTATGAGAATCAGCCTGTCTTTTGAAGCCTTAAAGCCAGGCATTGACTTCTCTTTTCTAGCTATGGAAGTCCCAGACGGCATCTTCTTCCAATAGCGTGCTGTTTCATCTACATTGAAAATCTGTTGTTTACTGTATTCACGTTTATCAATTATCTTAGCTGGATCTTCTGGATAACTTGCTGTAGCTTCTCCCTCAGCACTTGCTACTTCACCCTGTACTTTTATGTTATGGAAAGAGCTTCTTTTCCTTCAAACTTTTCTTCTGAAGCTTTCTCACCTGTCATAGAATTAAGGTGTTAGGGCTCTGCTGTGGATGAGGCCTTGGTATAAAGGCAGGTTATAGCTTGTTTGGTGTTCTATCCAAACCACTAAAACTGTCTCCATGTAAGTAATAAGGCTGTTTGCTCTCTTTTCATTTATGTGTTTACTAGAACACTTTTAATTTCCTTCAATATTTTTTTCCTTTGCCTCTACTATTTTGCCAACTGTTTGGTGCAAGATGCCTACTTTTTGGCCTATCTCGGCTTCTGACATACCTTCCTCACTAAGCTTAATCTTGTATAGCTTTTGATTTAAAGTGAAAAACGTGACTTTTCCTTTCACTTGAACACACAGATATCATTGTAGGCCTAATTTCAAAATTATAGAACTGGCCTAATTATATTATTTTATATATTATTTATATTATATATATTATAATATTACATAACTGGCCTAATTTCAATATTGTTTTGATTTAGGAATAGGAAGGCTTGAGACACGAGAGATAGGGAGTGGCCAGTCCATGGAGCAGTCACAACACACACAACATTCATCAGTTAAGTTCGCCGTTGTTACATGGGTACAGTTCATAGCACCCTGAAACAATTTTAATAGTCACATTAAAAAAATCACTGATCATAGATCACCATAACATGTAAAATAATGATAAAAAGTTTAACATATTGGGAGAATTAGTAAAGTATGACACAGAGACGTAAAGTGAGCACATGCTGTTGAAAAATTGGTGCCAATAGACATGCTCCATGCAGGATTGCCACAAACATTTGTTAAAATGTGCAATATCTGTGAAGTACAATAAAGCAAAGAGTAATAAAACAATGTATGCCTAGACACATATACATGTATTCATTTTTGTTTTGTTTAATTAAGGTATAGTTTACAAATAAATGTATATTTGAATTCAAAATGTCTACATGTATATTTGGTGCAGCTTTATCACATAGGTTTTGATTTTTCTACACTTAATTTTAAATTATAAAGTACTTTTCTTGTTTGAGTTCATCAAGACAGTATTTACTATAAAGATTCACAGCCTGATATATCAAATTATGACAACTGCTTCACTTTCTAAATGAAACTGAAGCCAAAGAAGTTACAGGATTCACCTAATATGTAGCGGCTTAGTGACAGAGGTCTTTCTGAACCTGAAGCTCTATTATTTGCCACTATTCTTCCAAGTGCTTAAACTTCTCTTTACATGCCCATCATTTGGTCATTTGGGACCTTCGCATCCTCTGGAAGACCTCTTTAGGTATTTGGAATGCAGTCAATTTGAAAATATGTCAGCAAAAATCCAGAAATATAACTTACAAGAAAATAAACTTATAATGGTTTTCTCTCATTTATAAAAATAACCCAAGACAATTTGTATTGAAATCAGGGAAAACTGTTCAGCAACGCAAATTATACCTTTAGCAATGTGAATTCCTTTTTAAGATATTATCTTCCTCCAAATGTCACACCATCCTGAAGTCAGCATGGATAATTCATAGACGGAATTGAATTCACCAGTGGAGCTGCCGAGTTTATTCAGACAGTACCTTTCCCTATGCCTGACTTGATTCCAAGTTTCATCTGTAGGATGTTAGCTCAGTGGTTTGTGCAGAGGAGGGTCAGGAGGAAGAAGTAGCTTCTAGCTGTATACTCTTAACTTACTCTTACATATCTAGATGATATCACTTAATTTTTACAGCTTTAATGCTCTAAAATTATGTAACTATAAACAGGATGCAGGTATGCATCTTACATTTAACATTCTCATTCTCTCCTCAACATCATCTGTAAAGCATTAACTATTTTTGCTTTCACCTCAGTATAATGATATAGAACCTCAATATAACAATGTGATGCTTTTTAATTTGCACTCATGAAGCCATCTTATTCTTCCATCCCTGGCCTGGTATGTAGTGATTACATCACTAGGACTATCCTTCCCACTCCACCTTTCCAAGCAAAACACTAGTCTCCTTAACGTCTTCATACATTCCTCACTTTTCTCATTTAGCACTCTGTTACCATTTTTACACAGACAGCGTATCTGCCACTGTACTGCAGGTAGGTATCATCTTTATATATATTTGAAATTGGATAATACTGGAACAAGGAGCTCTGGAAGATTATACAAACCTAATTCTGAGAGCTATGACTGAGGACCAGAGTTACTGGGAGGCTTTGTCCAAATCTTGGATTCCTCATCTGAGAAAAGGGATAAATATATGCCTCCTCTTTCATAGGTTATTTTACAGACTGAATAAGGCAAATTCATGTGAGCTCCAAAAAAAGCATTTGCCTCAAGTAATATCTAAATATTAGTGATTATCTGTGCAATATTCATGCATAAAATCTGTATTTGATTATATTCTATCTCATCTTTTCTATTGGTTTTTAATGTTCTTTTTAAAAAATCTTCCAGATCCAGTAACAATGCTAAGGGTATATTTTGAATCCCTATGGAAACTGTTCCAGTAGGAGAATAGTGTCCAATAATTAAAACTTGAAATGAAAACAATTTGTCTTTGAAATTCCCTAGTCTTTATGGAAAACAGAGCAAGGGTGCAAGATAATACAATAAGCAATATGCAGTAATATATAACAAACTGTGACTGACATTTCTATTTTCTTTCTACTTTGTTGTTAAATCTTCCCATTTTAAACCTCGCCGATGTTAAATTTTAAGTATTTTTAATACTTGACTCTGCCCTGAAGGGTTTTTAAGGAAGTCTACAATTTGGGAAATCTAATTTATAAACATTATGCTGCAGATACTTATATTTTACTATTTCAGTGTTGAATAATATAAATTGCAAATTTAAGCTCATTTGGGAATCCCTTCCAAAATATATCCCATGAGTTATACTTGAACATACTGCAGATGTTGCTTTTTATGTGACTGATGTACAATTTGCAAATGACCCAAGGTTTCTGTCCCCTGGTATACATGCCTTATATAACTTCCTTAAGTGTGGGACAGACTATGACCATGACAGGACGGTCATTTCAAGATCATATTACATTATATTACAAAGATATG